GCTCTCTATCACCAGCCCTACTCATTCCAACTCCTACATCTTGGAGCTATCAATGCCAGACCCCACCGCCACCGGCTTCTATGGAAGATGCACCAATAACAAGCAGTGCTACAATTTCCGCTATCCAGATTAAGCGTCAGCTTAGTTGGCAAAACACGGTTGGTAACAAACCAAAGATCAACCGTATCAACCAAATCATCGAACAAAGCAGGAGTTCCCATAACAGCAACAGCTTTTCCCTCTTAGCAGATGGGGAGAGCCAAGCTGAGCCAGAGCAGGTGACCCAAAAGAAACCAAAGTCCCACCTATTTATATTAGAGAAAAAAGCTCAAGCGGGGATGAAAATTTTCATGTTGTTCCGCTTATTAAAGGAAAGTTCAAAGTCCAAAGTTCAAACCAAATATGAAGAACACTTTCGAGCTGTGTCTAAATACCTGGAGGAAACAAAAAAAACTTTTACAATACATCTACCAATTAAAAAACAGCAAGTATACAGCAAGTACAAGTATTACTAAAGGGATTCGAACCTGACGTCTGAGATACTAGAAGACCTTAACGACAAGGGATTTTCTGCTAAGAATGTTAGCAGCATTATCAACAAAAACAAAAAACCGCAACCTACAAGGAGCTGAAGAACTGCATGCGACGAGCGACAGCTAAGCGTCAACAAAATACACAAAATATGTATTATAAATCAAAAACTACGCCAAGAGTATTTTTCGCCAAGGCAGCCAGATCATCTTTCGGTACGCTAAATACCACCAACGGCATCTCCTACGCTGATGCTCTATGAACAAGTATGGAAAATCCACTCCAACCACTTTTAGAAAACGCTCAGCAGGTCTCAGTCACAAAGCAATTTGGAAACTATGATGTGCACCATGTAACGAAGTATGATGGAGCTCATGTCATTTAGGAAAGCGACCATGCAAACGCTGGTTCAGAACCAGGACCGGCATCTTAATTAGAGAACAAAAAATTACATGCAAGCCATGTCCATAAAAGTGCAATTTGGAAACGACAACCGTTGCATTGCCGCTGTTTACTGCCCAACTCGCTTTACAATCTGTGAAGATCAATTCATAGATTTCTACATCTTGGAGATTAATTAGCTGCTGGAGATTACAACGCCAAGCATATGCACTGGGGATCAAGCCTCGTTACTCCCAAGAGAAGGCCACTTTATAATGCACTTATAAATGTGAGAAATAAGTTGGACTACGTTTCTCCTGGTAGCCCCACATATTGGCCAGCAGACCCCCGAAAGATACCATATCAAATTGATTTCGTTATGACAAAAAACATCCCACGCAATCTAATAAGCGCCACGGCCCTACCGGATCTCTCATTAGACCACTCTGCATTATTAATAACCCTTCTTTAAAGGCCAGAAATTATGGACCACCCCTGCAGGCTGTGTGAGTTCCCTCATTAAGCTAACCCCCTGCTCAATATCGAAGCAGACATCGACTGTTCTACCGCCGCCCTGGAAGATAAACTCGTCACAGCAGCCAGGATCTCAACACCACAACGGAAGGATGTGCAAATAAAGAAGTTCAAAACCAACCTGCAAATCGATCAGCTCGTTCTGGAAAAAAAACGTCTGCGACGGGCGTGGCAAACCAGCAGATCGCCATGCTCAAAGCAACGTCTAAATGAAGCCACCCGCAAACTAAACCGGGCTCTGAAGCAAGATGTCGAATATGCTTGCCCAAGCTTAAGCTCTCCGTAAACTCTTCAATGGAATCATAAGTCTCGGTTACTACCCAAAAAAATGGAAAAAGTCAATAATCATAATGATATCGAAGCCCGGAAAAGATCACATGTTTCCGTCCCCTTACAGACCAATAAGTTTATTATCATGCCATGTATGGGAGCTCATAACATTATCCTAGCCCATCAATTTGGCTTTAGAGAAAAAGATGGAACTATCGAGCAAGTTAACAGAATAACTCCAGAGATTCTTCTTCGAAAATACAGAATATTGCAGCGCGTATCTCAAGCATTAACGGTCTCATGTATAAAATCAAAACACATTTGCCCGGGTACACTCATAAATCACTTGAGTTGTATCTCTACAACAGAGTCTTCGCAGTGAGGTGCAACACAAAAACATCCGACAACTACAAAATCGAAACTGGAGCGACCGACTACCAACATCCACCTTCGCCGACGATACTGCAATCCTCAGCCGTTTCAGAAGCTCAGTCCGTGCAACATTCCAATTAGCCAACCAGTAGTAGAGAGGTGGCTATCCGAATGGCATGTCAAAATAAACGAACAGTAGGTACACATAACGTTTACTCTTAACAGTCGCAGTAAAAGATGAAATAGAGAAGCAAAAAATGTCGTACAAGGAAAAACTCTTACTAAATCCTCTCGCAAGGGACTTGACTCGGGTATCCATAAGAACCCTCCTACAACGTACAATTATTTGCTACTGTTCCAGTCTATATGACTGATAATTAGGTTATTGTTGTAAGTTATGACGTCATATTTTTTATCACCAAGTAAAATGCCTTTGTTTGTGGCAAATTTAAAATTTTTCTGTGTGTAGCTCAAGATTATGTTTTCGACACAGGTTAAATAATTGATTATATGGTTTTCGGAAAAACCTATAACTGCTAAGTCATTCATGTACAGGAAAGCTTGGGATGGTTCTAGTTCCAAAAATAATGGTGTCACTTTTATTTTAAATTAATAAATGGCTATTTTTACTCCATAGGGTAATCTTTTGAATCGGTACGACCCAGTGCTAATTGAAAAAGTGATGTTTTTGGATTCTTTTTCTAAAGTAATTTGGTGAATCGACACATTAAATCTAGATTAGAAAACATTTTTGCTTTACCAAGTTGATATAATACGCTTTCAATTCTTGTTTGTGGAAATTTATCTGCTGGTAACCTTTTGTCTATTTGACAAAATTACAATTACTAATCTCCCACGTTTTTCTTCCAAACCAGGAAATGCTAATTTGGGTTCTAAAAGTAATGGGTAATTGTATTTGGATACTAAGGGTTCTTCTATGTCATCTTTTGTGAGTTCTTTAACTTGTTAATCTATTTCTTCTTTTTGGCTAACGGGTGTTCTATAATTTTTAATATATACTGGGGTGTCATATTTTACTCTAAGCTTTTGTTTGTAAATGTTATATATACATTTTCTCTGAGAACATTTTGTACCACCGATAAACGTTGCTTCGGTCCAAGGTGGCATCTCCGTATGCCAGGTTCCTTGATCCATTTTTTTGAATATGTAAAAATCGAAGACGATCCAAAACACGTGCAAGCAAAGCAGCTGTCAACAATTAAGTGAACATTCAAAATGGCCGAGCTTGTCGGCATTAGTGAGAGACATGAGTACCAACATAACGCCACAAAAAAAATCGAAATTCGATACGAGGTAACCCGCGAAAATTCAAAATTCGCGATACTTTTTGAACACACCTCGTATACCAGATAGGCGCCCAAACGGCCCCGTTGCGACTACTATACTGCAAGCAATAACTACACATCTTTTTATTTATTTTATAATTTTTTTCCGATAATTTCCGTGAATTCTATATACCTAGATAGATTAAAACTGAGAGACTAGATTACATAGAAACAGACAGAGAGACAGACGTATTTTAATTCAGATCGTGATGCTGATCAAGAAAATATAATATATACCTTCTGAAGTCTAAGGTTCCTCCTTTACTACGTTGCAAACTTCTGACTGAGGTCAACCCTGCAAGAGGGTATTTTTTTTGTATTGTGAAATATATTCATTTTTTGTTAGAATAACAAAATAATACAAGACTTTACAAGTTTGATGCATACATGACAAATTCCACAAAATTGCTGACTTAAAAACTATTAAATTAATGTTTAACTTTTAAAACGAAAATAAGATTTAAATAAAAAAAATGGTGGCAGTATACGCTTTCGTTATACACTGGTCGGCATATATTTTGACAATAATCAAAGTGAAATATACTCGAAACTTGAACTTGCTTCTTTTAACTTTTGGTATCAATGGAAAGGTAATTTAAATGCCGTTTGAATGATACCATACTTTTCTTAACTCATTCGATGTTTATTGAAAAAGTCAATTTAAAAAAAAAATTAAAAAATAATTTTTTTAAACTTTTCCCTCGGCTTCAAAACTAAAATTTTTGGATGAAAAAAGTTTCTTTAAACAAAAATAATAGTAACTGCAATAGGAATTTTTCAAAAATTATTTTTCTTTTATTTTTATAATTTTTTGAAAATGCTTAGAAATACGCATTTAAGCCATATTTTTCTCTTTTCCATACAAATTTTTTCCGACATTGTCACCTTCGAAAAATCATAAAACTTAAAAGAAAAATTATTTTTGCAAAATTCTTTTTGCAGTTACCATTATTTTTGTTTAAAGAAACTTTTTGCATCCAAAAATGTTAGTTTTCAAGACGAGGGAAAAAGTTGTTTTTTTAATTTTTTTTTCAAAATTGCCCTTTTCAATAAATATCGAATGAGTTAAAAAAAGTATGGTATCATTCAAACGGCATTTAAATTACCTTTCCATTGATACCAAAAGTTAAAAGAAGCAAGTTCAAGTTTCGAGTATATTTCACTTTGATTATTGTCAAAATATATATGCCGACCAGTGTACATAGCTTAAAGGCACAAATATCAAATTGATTGAAATTTTATGACACAATTGTTAACTGTTTTTTTCCATAAGCTCTTACTTACATATAAGAGCACCTACCGATTACCGAGATCTCACTATGTCTTATCGGATCGTCAAACCAGATTTTTAATTTTGCGGCTAAATAAGGAAGTACTTTTGACTCTTGGGGGTCGGTGGACCAGCAGGTAGAACGTTGGTCCCCGAACCAGAAGGCCTGGGCTCGAAAAAAAACGGGCTCTCCAAATCTCCATCATTTCTAGGCTTTATCGCTCACTTAACAATAGTAACAAATTTCGGCTCCCCCGGACCCGCACACTTTACCGGTAAATTTTTCTGATACTCACCATTTCTACAGAAGCATTTGTTGGCCTGATTGCTTACACCATTGTCGAAAGCATTTTCCTCAAACACATAGCTGTATCCCTTTAGACTTCCTAATGTTATCTCTTCGCCAACACGGTACTGCAAGCAAAATGTATTATGTTCAAATCTTTTCGATTGGGTTAATTTTTTTGTAGCAACACACCAAATTTATAGGTCTGCACATGCTTTTCCTGAAAAATTTTACTGTCTCGTTTGGCTGAATAAAGCTTTTAAACTTTGTGCCGTCGGATGCATACTCTATGTTGCTACAGTGGTCCTCCTCCCACTGTGGTAGATTTGTCTTTCCGCGATAGGTAGCGTATAGTCCCGACAGCGCAGGATTGGGAACGCCTGTGTAGAACGTCTCAAAATCCGAAGAAAAATCGTACATGCGATCTATGAGCCCAACCTTTTCAAATGATATCCAATTCGGAAGGAAAGTGTTGCCCAGAGTGGCAAGGGCCGAGGGGTAACCGAACATAAACTCCCTTGCAGTGGTTCGAACAATAGGCTCCGACTTTGTGCTCACAAACAATGTCTTAAGAGCCATGCGAACTAAGAACGGCTGGTTAGCAGTGAGGTGTGATATTGCCTGGAATGTAAAGACGAGGTTAAATATTAGCAAAGGCAAAATGTAAGATTATTGCGTAAACTAAACCATTCAGCTATAGTTTGCACGAAGGAAATTCGGACGACTTTATCATATAGCTTCCATATGAAAAATCGTCGAAAATACAGAATCTTCATAGATAAATCGACATAGCTCGGTGTTGTTTAGACTCTATGTATTTGGTTCGACATATTTGTTTACTGCAAGGGTACATATATAAGCTTCAGCTTGTCAAAGCTAACTTCCTTTCTTGCATTTTGATAGTATAAAATATCTTCTATTTTGGCCCAGAAAATCAAAAAAAGTGTGAGAAGGACAAAAATTTTTATTAATATAAATTTTTTTTAGGTTGTTTCAAAAGTTTTTTAATTATACGTTTTTTAATGTTTATTCAACTAGAAGAAAATTCAATCCTGAATACAATCCATTTTGTCTTGTTTCGATAGGACGTTAACTTTTTTCCTATCAATTAGGAAAAATCGAAAAAATGAAAAACCGAAAAAAATTTCTCGTCGAAGTTTATACGTATACCTGCTGGATGTATACGTATAAACGAAAACTTCGACGCGACTTTTTTTGTTCACTATTTGTTCTGTAACTCCAAAAATAATTTGGGTTTGTTTTTTGAAATTTTAGGAACACATTCTTGGATAGTTTAGGAAGGCACAGCTTCCCCCTTAAATATGCAGTAATAAATACGTACATAGACGTTATTTTAAATTAACTAAAATACTTACCAACATGGCTATATTGAGCATAATAACCTCATCGTCCTCCCGATGACCGTTTGACATATGCTCCTGCCAGACTAGTGGATGCCGGGGTGTGCTGGACATAGTGTTGTTTTTATTGAACGTGACATTTTCGTGGGTCATTATCTCCCTAAATGCCAAATTAAAGTACTGAAATTATAAATTATGGTTTTATATCTTACTTGTATACATAGGGACCAACTTGTTCCACTTTTAGCTTCTCCCGACCCGCAAGAAAGGCCTGGGCATTGGTTATATTAAACAAATATATCTTAATATAGAGATCAACTGGAGGTTGGGCCCACAAATTGAAGATTTCGCCGCCTTCCGTCATTATTAACTTCTGCAAAGATACCGAAAATACTATTTATTGCTCCAGCCTGAATTTGTGGAAAATGTAGTTGCAATTTTTCTATACTGATATCGAGGGATCTTAAAGCTTACAAGTCGAAATGACTTATTATTGCTACCCAATCACTTGCAAACTACAACGGCAGTGAAATGGTTTTTTATTGAATCTTACCCACTTAAATATCAAATCGTAGGGTTCGAACACTTTAACTAATATAGCCGTCGCTAATGCCAAAAATCCAAAGGCTAGCAAAAGAAACGCTCCTGGAAGTAAACGAAAAACAATTGGAAAATCATTGGAGTTATAAGAAAAATCAGTTTTTTTATTGTAATTTAGCACCTAGGTTGATACGAGGATATGAACAATCCACTTAAAAAACGGGAATATTACCATGAAGCAAAAACGATTTGACACAAAAACAAGAAACAAAGCTAGCTTCGGCGAGCCGAAGCTTATATACCCTTGCAGTCATCAAATATGTCGAACAAGATACTTAACCCTTTCATGCCCAAATTTAAATGGGGCACATCGAAAATATTTAACGCCATAAATAATAAATAGGAGCCCCAAGTAGCTTTCATTCCGGTTTTCGATTCTCTAAGTCCTTTGGTATGTCCTTAATGCAATGATGCCTATAGCCATAAAAAAAAGTAACAAAAATTTTAAATCGTAACCGAAGTTTGAATGTAAAGCCAATGTTGCCTATAGGCAACTGTGAGCGGAAAGGGTTCAAAACCAAACAACATTGACGATATGACTATTTTTTTTTTTTTTTTCTATATTTTCGACTATTTTTTCATATTTTTATAAAATATAATTTGAAATTCAAGAGTCGTTGAAAAACAAAGATGTTATAAATTTACATCATATAATTTGCAGATTTTTATGAAATTTGTCTTCTTCACTGCGTTGCAAACCTCTGATCGAAATTATAATACCCTCCACAAGGGTATAATTAGTACGTACATATATGGTATCTGACGGAAGTCATTATATCAATCCCATTGCTTATGAACACGACATGATTAAGCTGCACGCATTTGTAATAGTTGACCAACAATTGGATAAGAAAGGCATAATTATTAAGGGTTTATTATAATCCATTAAGAAGGATCAGTGAAATAACTACTCTGTCTAGGGAAGGTAGTTGTATTATACATGTTAAGTTCTTGTTAAAAAAAATTAAAAAGAAAACAATCTCAGGGTTTTATTTTTACAGCTTCCGAATAATACTTTAAGGAATTGATGGCAATTATCTGCACTTTTATTCAAATCATTTTCTTTAGTAAATTTTTGGCCGATAAAAATTTTCTGTTTTATTCGTATAAAATCAAAGAAAGCGGAGATAGGTAAGTTATGTATATAAATCTTCACGATGCTATAGGAAGAAACAATGGAGATTAAGATTAAGCCCCAAGGTTTCTGTTCGAAAAAACTCATGATAAAATAAAGTATGTATATTCTTCATTATAGTTGTTCTAATCTTTTAATTAAAATTTCCTGTAACCCTTTATTAAAACGAAAGCCGGTGGCTGTGACATTATTGATTGAATAAACATGCATGTCATGAATAAAGCAACAAAAAGTGACTTTCTCATGCGCTGTGACTATTTTGTTTAAAGAATAAAATTATCAACAACAATTTAATTCAGTTATCTTGGCAGGAAATCTGGATTCTCAAAAGGACTACATTATGTATATTCGAGATTGTTAAAGAAATTGAATAATTTCACCACGTCAGACACTGCCAATTTTAGTACTGAATGCTGTAAAAGTTGAGAAATGACTCAGAGTGATTTTTTAGTACTGAGTGAAGATCCAGAAAAGCTAAGGCCAGTTGCTTTTTTGCTATTTTAACAAATAAATAAGGTAATACTTCGGAATTTTGACTCCAGCTATATTGTCAGCCCCAATAAAAACTTGGGAACCAAATCAAGAGTTTTTTCGTAAGATAATAACCCCCTTAGGAGGGGCAGAAGGTTTTTTACCTTGGAAAATGGAAATTTCCTCGGAAAATCAGCGGAAAACTCTTACATGCACGTCATGCATTTCCGCGCTAGATTTGAGGACATATTTTGGGTAATTGGCCCAAAATAAACACTTTTTAATAAATAAAATTTTTCGATTTCTCGCACCGTTTATGAGATATCGAGCCTTATATTTCCGATAATATTGAGGGCTGGTAGCGGGTGATGCAATGCATGACGTGCATGTAAGAGTTTTCCGTTGATTTTCCGAGGAAATTTTCATTTTCCAAGGTAAAAACCTCCTGCTCCTCTTAAGGGGGTTATTATCTTATGAAAAAACCCTTGATTTGGTTCGCAGTTTTTTTTGGGGCTTAAATATAGCTGGAGTCAAAATTCCGAAGTATTACCATAAATAATTAAAAATCACGCTTTCCGCCACTTTTTTATTAATGTTTAGGTCCCAAGGTAGCTTTTTTGGTATTTGTTTACAAGTGCGGTTCACGGTAAAAACAGCTAAAAAAAAAATAAAGTAAAATATGCAAATGATGTTTTTTCTAAAATTTCGAAATCCGTTGGCGAAAAGTGAAAATTTTGTACCGTTTTTTTGTTATTAACAATTAAATATGCGATTGGTAGTACGTTTTTTGTATTAAAAACCAAAAGCACTAAAATTTGTAGAAAAAATTGATCTTTGTCTTATTGTAAGTTTAAGATAACAAGTTCTATTATTGGCAGGGTATATTATTACCTTTGGAGCGCATTTTTTTTTATTACGGACGATCCAAAAACGGGCTATGGTGTTCATCCAAACACTTTTTTATTTTTGCTAGACTTATAATATTTTTAATTCATTTTCTGTTTACATCATTATTATATGCTATTATGTGTGTTTAACATATATGTATAATAAAATTTTATTTAGGTTAAAAAAAATAAATAATAAATAAAACCGGTCGGTTCGACTTTTAGTAATACCTTCAATCGAGAGGAGACTATTTTAATGTTTATGAGAAATTTTATAGAGGGTCATGTCTTGATCAATTCGGTACTTAATGCTGATCACCAATAAATTTTATATTGAATGTGTGTGCTTTCATGGATGTCTATCGCTACCGATAAGTAACGTTTTTTATTATCCTGGAAATGTAATATCACCTGCACACTACACAAAAAAAAACAGTAAAAAAAAAAAAAACAGATGACAATTTATTTTACTTGACTCAAAAAGCGGCTCCCAATAATAATCTTCGGGTAATAAGAAAATGTTGAACTACTAAGCTGTCGGGTCATCCAGCCGCAGCAGATAATTATCTTCTTTTATTGCGAGCTCTTACATTATCTGCATCATGGTACAATTATACAAGGTAGTCTCGTCGGCGGCCTAATCGTTCGGCTTTTTAGTCAGTGCGTTCGTGCTTGTTTACGGACGAATTTTTTCAGAGTATTAACCCTTGTGCAAAGAAGTCGTTCTGCCCTTGGCTGCAAACTTTTTTTGTTTTTTTGCATGTAGCTTCAGATTATTTTAGTATAACAAAAATGTAGAGGGAAAATTATTAATTGTTGCTAAGAAACATTAATTTATATATTCAAAAATGTTACTTTAAGAGTACAATTTTTTTTTTTAATTAAGAACCCAAACAAAAAAAAGCTATTCCAAAACAAAAAGAACGTTTAATTTTAAATTCAAAACTATTAAAAATTAATTTATAAAAAACTTCAAAGCTAAGCAAAAAGCTCTTTTGTCGTTTCACTCGCACTTGTTGTGAGTAATGAATAGGGGAGTGCTTTTTGCCGACGAGACCATGATACAATTATACAAGGTAGTCCACTCGGCTTGCCGAAGTCGTTCGGGTTTGGTCCCTTATTTTTCACTCACACTTACTTGTCAAAGCTAAAAATAGGGGACTATGGATTTTGCCGAGTGGACTACCTTGTATAATTGTATCATGGACGAGACCTTGTATAATTGTACCATGATCTGCATAATTACCATCGCTCTCTCTCTATCTTTCTATTCACTCTCTCGTTGCTTGTTAGCTTCTACTTTGGGGCTGAAAATGGCTAATCCGTTTCTCAAATCGAACTCTTTTTTCGATCCCGCGGACCATTTTGTCAATCGCTTTCACTGAAATAAAAATTCGCTGCCTTTGTAGAAATCAAACTCTAAATTTTCGTGTTTTAATTTAAATTGCTAATAAAAAAAATTATTAGCTCAACATTTGGTGACCCCGACGTGATTTGTGCATAAAAAAATACCCAGTGGAAGTCACAAAAAATAAATTTATTTTACCAGGCTGCATATCTCACTTTATCGGTGTTGCAGCTTCATTGTGCGTTGGCCGGCCATAAACAATACAAATGTATATACAGTAGAATCCTGTTATAACGACTCCGCTTATGGTGTCCGTCCGAGTTGTGCGACGAAAACTCGTTGGGTTGGTTGGTCCCCATACAAAATATATTATATGAAAGGGCCTCCGCTTAGTGCCTTAGGGCCTTAGCTTAGTCAAACCGCTTATACGAACGAACGAACGAAAAACTTTAAAAAATCCAACCGGATATTGCGTCGTGCCGAAAAAAAAATACCGTACAATGGTGTCAGATTTAAGCATCAAAACACGCTGTAGAAATGTACATACAGTGGTGGCCATAAGTATTTTGTCAAAATAAAAGTGAAATATACTCGAAACCTGAACTTGCTTCTTTTAACTTTTGGTATCAATGGAAAGGTAATTCAAATGCCGTTTGAATGATACCATACTTTTCTCAACTCATTCGATATTTATTGAAAAGGGCCATTTTAAACAAAAAAGTCAAAAAAAACTTTTTCCCCCGGCTTCAAAACTAAAATTTTGGGATGCAAAAAGTTTCTTTAAACAAAAATAATAGGAACTGCAAAAAGAATTTTTCAAAAATAATTTTTCTTCTATTTTTAATGATTTTTTGAAGGTTACAATGTCGGAAAAAGTTTGTATGGAAAAGAGAAAAATATGGCTGAAATGCGTATTTCTAGTCATTTTCAAAAAATCATAAAAAATAGAAGAAAAATTATTTTTGAAAAATTCTTTTTTCAATTCTTATTATTTTTGATTAAAGAAACTTTTTGCATCCAAAAATTTTATTTTTGAAACTGAGGGAAAAAGTTTTTTTTGACTTTTTTTTTAAATTGCCCTGTTCAATAAATATCGAATGAGTTGAGAAAAGTATGGTATCATTCAAAAGGCATTCGAATTACCTTTCCATTGATACCAAAAGTTAAAAGAAGCAAGTTCAGGTTTCGAGTATATTTCACTTTT